CTTTCTGTTTCTCTGTCTCTCTCTCTGTCTGGTGAGTGCATGCGCCCTATAGCAAAAATCTCTTCAAAAATAAATAAATAAATAAATAAATAAAAATTCACTTGTACTTTAATTCTATTTTTCCATAAATGCTTAAAATCCCCTTGTATTAATCCATGCCCCCATTTTGTTTGCTTCTATTCCACATTTTATCTCATCACTTCCTCTTCTAGGGGTGATAATAATAATGATGGTAATGATAAGTAGTATGTGCTATATTTCATTGACTCTTAATAATGACTCAGTGATGCATTATTATTTTTATTGTCTATTATTATCATCATTTTGCAGATGACAGAAGTAAGCTTAGTGTCATTAAGGACTGGCCCGGATCTTGCGTAGTGGAGTTGGAATCCAAACGCCTACCTTAGAAGGTTGTCATGAGGGATTTAATGAGGTACTTTACGTCACTGCCTGGCATGGACCTCATACAAACAAAAACGTTCAAGTAGGTCAGTTCTTACTACTACAAAAGAGATGAAGAGAAGATAGGAACTGCACTGTCAGTGTTAGAACCTGACCTCTCCTGTGAAGGCGATTATGGATCTCAGCCAGAGCCGCTCAAGCTGTGGAGGGAGCAGCCCATCAGCTCCTCATGTGCTCCTAAGAGACTGCACTCGCCTTGCCTTAGTGCTTCTCCCCTCCCCGTCTCACTCTCCTCACTTCTACTGATTTCCTTTATTTATTTATTTATTGGTTTGTTTTGTTTTGTTTTGTTTTGGGAGAGTTTTTTGCTATAGGGCGCGTGCGCTCACCAGAAAGACAGAAAGAGACAGAAAGACAGAAAGTGAGAAATCACCCCCCGGGGGGATGGCCACACGGCAATCCCTTCTCCTCCATTCTCCTCTTGGGATCTTGGGCACACATGCACATGTGCCCGGCGTGAGTCTAAGTCACCGGGTCTGAGACTCGAACTGTGGGCGACTACATGGGAGTCCAGCAACATAGCCATTACGCCAACTGCTGGTCTCTGATTTCCTTTTAACAGGTGTGCAGAGGGTAACTTCCCAAAAGAACAAAAAGGCTAGGATCTGAGGTAAGACACTAAGGGGAAAAGTAGAGAAGCAAGACATTTATGGGACAAAGAAATGGGTTGTCATCTGTTGAAGATAATGTGTATAGTATTCCCACCTGAACTGTGAGAAGTGTATTTATGTTGGAACATTCACTTTACAAGCTAAGTGACTTATGTGATTGAATGTATAAAAGAAACTGAAATAAAATATGTAAATTAATTAACTAATTAATTTTTAGAAAAGAACAAAAGGGAAATGAAGAGAAAACACCCCAGGAATATGACGTGTCCAGCTTCCAAGCCCAGCATCTCTCCCTCAGCCACTCAGCAACAGTGATCACTTGGCTCCCTGCCATCCTCCAAGGTCTTCCAGTTTCCAGCAAAGACCACCAGCCAGCCCTGGCTCTGCCTTGATCACCTCCTGTTTCTGCCCAAAGTGGAGGAAGCCCTGTTAGCCAAGGGATCTTCACTTGCCAGGCTCCAAGGTAGCAATAAACACAGCAACCACACAGTTGTCACAGCCTGGAGAGAGACTGTGAGCCGAGAGTGATTCCCAAATATAGCCTCATTTCTCTTTCTACTTCTTGCTCATTTCTCACCTGATAGGTGGGAACCCTTCCCAGCAGTACGTGGCGAGAGTGGGCTACCAGAAGAAAAACACAAAGGGGCAATCATATGTAAAGTAAAATGGTTGGCAAGAGTTACAGACACCCTCTCACCCACCTGTGCACACACTCTGCAGTTAGAGAACTATTTCTGTAGTCCCCCACCCAAGGATCAGGCTCTGCACAGACACCCGCACAGCCTCCTAGCAATCATGCAAAGCTGGGCTTTATCCTAATCTTAAAAGTGAAATCAGGGGCTGGGAGATGGCATGGTGGCAAAGGCATTGCATTCCCACATGGCTGACCAGGATTTGCATCTTGGACATGAGAATCAAGCACGTGCACTTGTGTGCCCAAAATCCCAAGAGGAAAATGGAGGAAAAGGGATTGTGGCATGGCCATCCCCCCTTTGAGGGGGTGGTAATTTCTCACTTTCCCTCTCCCTGTCTCTTTCTGGCAAACACTCACACCTTATGGCCAATAAATCAATAAATACCAAAAACAAAACAACAACAAAAAAAACAACCCTCCAAGATGTCAACAGCTTGAGTAAATGCTCAGGCTGGTAAGCAGCAGTGTAGACACAGCTCTGTCTAATGATTTATCTCCTTCCACCAGACCTGGGGCTTATTTAGGAGCTCAGTTTTTCCAACCATGCCTTGGTACTCTTTGGCTACCTCAGGGAGTCATGTCAGATGTGCAGAAGCCCCCCAAGGAGAGCTGCAAACTGGGAATGCCTGTGGGGGTTAATCCTTCTGGAGACCCTTGCACCAGAGGTGACTTCCGAGGGACCTGGACGGGAACAGTTACCAACAAAATCCTTAAACACTTACCAGGAAGCTAGTTGTGTGAGCCTTTGGAAGACACCACCGAAAGAGGTGAGGGGGTGCTGACGAGTAAGATAAGAGAGACACCAAGAATGTATGGTGTCCCAAAAGACAGTGAATTAATTGGGGTTTTTGTTTGTTGTTTGTGTTTTGTTTTTTAAGATATTTTTACCTTAGGGCACATGAGCTTGCCAGATAGAAAGAGAGACAAAGACAGTGAGAGGGAAAGTGAGAAGTCACCCCCCAGGGGAGATGGCCACTCTGCAACCCCTTCTCCTCCATTCTCTTCCCAGGATCTTGGGCATGCACGCACATGTGCCCAGCATGACTTTCAAACCACCAGGTCTGGGACTCAAACTTCAGGCAGCCATGTGAGAATCCAGCAACGTAAACGCTACGCCATCTGCTGGCCACATGAATCATGTATTTTAAGAAAAGGGAGTGGGGCTAGCCTCATAGCCTAGAGGTTAAGGGAGTTGGATCCCACATGGTCAACCACGCTTCAAATCCTAGCCCAAGCAACTTGAAGAACATGCTGGGCATGTGTGTAAGTCAAAAAATTTTGATATGACAATTCTTTTGAGTAAATGGCAGGGTATCAAAGACCAAGAGAGTTTTTCTTTAATAGGAGATATTACCGTACTTTTTTTTTTTTTTGAGAGGTTTTTGCTATAGGGCGCGTGCGCTCGCCAGACAGAGACAGAGAGACAGAAAGCAAGAAATCACCCCCCAGGGGGGATGGTCACGCCGCAATCCCTTCTCCTCCATTCTCCTCTCGGGATCTTGGGCACGCATGCACACACGCCCGGCGTGAGTTCTAAGCCACCGGGTCCGGGACGTGAACTACGGTTGACTACATGGGAGTCCAGCGACATAGCCATTACGCTAACTGCTGGTTCCCTACCGTATATTTTTATGATGATGTAAGCAGTCGAGCAGGGAGGAGAGAAGTGATTGTGCATCACCACTTATCTCTTGTAATGTCTGAGAGTTAAGCCAGAGGAGATGGAACACAGGGTACCAGCAGAGAGGCGGCCTTAGCGAGGAACATCAACAACTCACCTCCAACAGCAGGGGCAAGGCAGAGTGTGTGGAGGATGAGATGTGAGAGGAGACTCAGTGACATCAACCAACATGGTTTTGCAGGGTTTTCCTTCTCTGAATATGAATAGCTACTTGAATACAATGCAGAATAAGTAGTGTTAGCTTGACCAGGACTGAGTAGCTGGGCGAGTATGTCAGAGAGACGAGGAGAAGAAGGACAAGGGTGTGCATGTGTCATCATTATGATGATGACCCCTCTGGAATCTTATTTATTTATTTATTTATTGAGAGGTTTTTGCTATAGGGCGTGTGCACTCGCCAGAAAGACAGACAGAGAGACTGAAAGTGAGGCAGCACTCCCCAGGGGGGATGGTCATGCCGCAATCTCTTTTCCTCCATTCGCCTCTCAGGATCCTGGGCATGCACGCACATGTACCAGCGTGTCTAAGCCACCAGGTCCAGGACTCGAACCGCAGTTGACTACATGGGAGTCCAGCGACATAGCCATTACACTAACTGCCAGTTCCCAATGCCTCTGGAATCTAAGTCAGGCAAGAGAAGTGAGGACACAGGAAAGGTGAGAGACAGAAGAAAAATGATAGAGTCAATCCTTTGAGACCCTAGCATAGTCAAAGAATCGTTGGCATTAGAGAGCAGTTAGAAGAATGCAATAGAAAGACACAAGGTGGTGGGACCAGCAGATGGCGTAATGGTTACACTGCTGGACGCCCATAGAGTCGACTGCAGTTCAAGTCCTGGACTTGGTGGCTTAAAACATGCAAAGCAGATGTCCATGAATGTCCCAAATCCTGAGGAGAAGGGATTGTGGTGTGGCCATCCCCCTGAGGGTGATTTCTCACTTTATGTCTGTCTTTCTCTCTCTGTCTCTCTGGCGAGTGCACATGCCCTATAACAAAAATCTCTCAAAAAAAGAAAAGAAAAAGAAAGACACCACGTTGTGTTTAAAGAGTAGGGCCTTAAAACTGAAATACTGAAGGCAATGGAGTTTCTAGCAATGACAGGACTAAGATATGGCCATGGGGCAGTGGCTAAAGGAAAGCAGAAGACAAGATCTTTGTAGGTGATGCCCTCAAGGAACTGAAATGCCAGAGTGCTGGTGGACTATCTACATAAACACTAAAGTCACCAAGAAAGAGGACTCCAGTAGAAGTGAAAATGCAATGAGTCAAGAATCAAAATCTTCAATGACTAAGGGGCAGGGACAGAAAAAAGGAGGAAAAGCACTTGCTTCAAAAGAACTAGCAACTTTAGGGGGGAAGGAGGATGAAGCGAAGAAGAACAAGAACTCTCTGAATCAGCTCTCCTCCCAGCGGAATGTCAGATTTGAGACTCAACGCAAAAACCAGACACAACTTAAGAGGAATTCTGGAAAGCTGTGTCCTCAGCTAAGAGTGAATGAGATACAGTCTTCTTTTTTTTCTTCCTTTCTTTCTTTTTTTTCTTTTTTTGGAGCGAGATTTTTGCTATAGGGTGCATGCGCTCATCAGAGAGATAGAGAGACAGAGACAGAAAGTGAGAAATCATTCCCCAGGGAGGATGGCTTTACCACAATCCTTTCTCCTTTATTCTCCTCTTGGGATCTTGGGCACGCATGCACATGCGCCTGGAGTGAGTCTTAAGCTGCCAGGACTGAGATTTGAACCGTGATCAACTGTGGGAGTCCAGCATTGTAACCATTCTGCCACCTGTGGTCCCAAGATACAATCTTCTTAATCTGAGAACTGACTTGGCCATGCTGTGGTGCAGGATACACTTGGCACAAGGCAGCCACAGGCACACACACATACGCGCACACGTGTGCACACATACGCATGTATGCTGTCCCTGGCCAGATTGGCAGTGATAATGGCAGGTTGGTAGAGTGTTTTTACCAGAAAGCAACATGGTTCAGGGTAGCAGGACAAGGATCCAGGAATCAGAAGGGCCTTATCACCTTATATCTGTTCCGTCAACACCACTGTGTGGCCGGCCCAGCCAAAGTCATTTCCTATCTGTAGACAGGAAAAACAGAGAGTTCGGTAACTCAACAATAAGTGACAGAGCCAGGAATCAACCTTGTGACTTCTGACTTTTCCCAATTCAGTGCTGTTTGCACCAACCAGTTTATCCCACATTTCCTAAAGATCACACTTATCTGGAGATACCTTTTAAATATACAAATTCTTGGGTGCTAGCCCTGAACACATGGATTCCATAGTTCTGGGGTATGGCCTAGGAATAAGCATTCCAGGTGATAATTATCATGACACATGTTTGAAAGTGGTGCAGATCACCCCACAGTCTTCTCTATGGATTGATTCTGTGTAGTTGAAAAGTTTCCTTAGTTTCTCACCTTTTGGTTGGGGCGCCATGACAACATCTCACAAACATGCACCAGTTGCCTAATACCTCTTCGATGCAATAGTTTAATGCAAGAGCTGGAGACCTAATTTTCCAGCTAATGGATGGGATGGAAAATTAATACCCATACAGTACCATGATTTGAAGAAGGACCATGTCTTGGGGAGATATCCATCCCATCCTTTCACTTCTGAATTAGAGTAAAGTCAAGTTATCTAGCCCCTCCAAGTCTGTTTCCCCACTTGTAATACAGTTAAAATTCATATTTACCTTTTAAGCTTTTACAAGGTTTGTAACTATTACATGTAAATATCTGTGTGTAACATTTCTCAAATTGGAGTTAATATGGTATATGGCAGCTACTAGGGCAGAAGTAATCGTAGCAGGAATAGTTGTTCTTCAGATTTCCTAATCTAGCTTTGATCATTCTGTAAACCAGACAAGGAAGTCTGGCCCCAGAATGAGTGCTCATCGTAATGCCCGTTATCAGTGTGTTTGAGAGTGCCAAGCCAGGTGCTGATGTTGGGAAACCCTAGAGAGGCTGTCCCAATCAATACGCTAACATTTGCTTTGTCCTCATGCCTCACACCCATATTGACACAAGTGGCCATTAGGGAATGATGAGCCGTGGCAGAAGCAATGGCCTGGAAGGAGGCGGCAGCACACTGGGTTTGGCACTTGAGGAGATAGTGTTTTAATCAATTGCGGGTTGGCATTAATGTCTGGGTTAAGGTTAGGTGGAGGTCAGGTGCATTATCACTCTTGAGCCCATCCTCGGAAACAGTGTGTGGCTCCCAGCTCAATAAAGAAGTAGTGCTCCAGGTCTCAAAAGGCTTTCGCTGACCTCAACAAGTGTGGCTGCCAGCTAAACAGACAATTCTCTAAAGAAGACATATGAACAGTCTGAAAAACATATAAAAACATGCTCAAAATCACTTATCATAGAGATGCAAATCAAAACCACAATGAGATACCACCCAACCCCATTCAGAATGGCTAAGATGAAAAAATAAGGAATGTGAAGTGCTGGAGAGGCAGTGGAGAAAAGGGAACTCTCCTACACTGTCAGTGTGAATGTAACTTAGTATAGCCACTGTGGAGAACAATACGGAGGTTCCTCAAAGACCCACAAATGGAACTGCCATGTGATCCAGCAATCTCACCCCTGGTTATCTACCCAAAGAATAGGGAATATACTCAGTTGGAAAAACACTTGCATATACATGTTTATTGTGGCATTATTCATAATTGCTGAGACATGGAATCAATCTAAATCTCCAAGGACAGAAGAATGGATTGAAAAAATGTGGCTCATATACACTATAGAATACTACTCAGCCATTGGAAAAACAAAAACAAACAAACAAACAAAAAAATGAGGTTCTGACACCTGATAGAAAGTGGAAAACATGGAAGATTTAATGCTAAGTGAAGCAAGCAAAGCAAACCAGACTATGAAAATCATTGTATGTCTCCACTTAATATATACCAAATGTCTGCACTCTATAGCAGAAACTAAAAGACTGGAAGGTATAAATCATGGATAAAAACTGTGGATACTGGAGACAATGTGGAAGCAGGGTAGGCAAGGGGGACAGGAAATGGGAAGGAGGGAATCAAGGGGGGAAAAAAGCAGTGTTTAATAGACATAAAAATGGAAAATTATCTGCTAATGATAATGTGTTTTGTAATATTTTTGCTGGACTAACATGCAGTGTATTCATGCTGGCAAAATTCATTTTGTACGTTGTGAAGATGTAAAGGGATTAAATGTAAAAATAAAATAACATCACCTAGGGCCAGCAGGTGGCGTGGTGGTGAAGGTGGTGAACTCTCACATGGCCAACTACAGTTTGAGTCCCAGACGCAGCAACTTGAGAATCATGCCAGGCACATGTGGATGCCCAAAATCTTATGAGGAGATTAGAGGACAAGGGGTTGCGATGTAGCCATCCCCACTAGGGGGTGGTTTCTTGTTCCCTCTCTCTGTTTCTGTTATTATTCAGCAAGCACACACACCCTATGGGCAAAACCTAAATTAATTAAATAAATAAATAATCCACCTATATATCTAATAGTGGAAAGTTAAATAAAATATGGTACATATATAGGATGGAACGTAAGCCAGCCCTATAATTTACTTAACACCATGGTGAAGCAGGTGCTATAGACAGGCATTCTCAACGCCGCTCCAATTCTTTCCTTCCCATATGAAGGCTGAAAGGGGAAGAAATATGTTTTCCAAACTCCATTGTGTCTTGGGTCCCACAGGTGGCCTGGCTTCTGATGAGCAGATATTTCTGCTGCTCCTTCTGCTACCAGGTCTTGGGTGGGTGTGTCCAAGAAGGCCAGGCTGACACCTGCTGGTCTATCCCATGTAAGGAGTCTATGAGTTACGAAGCTTCTAAAACAAACCTTGTTCTGCTTAAAATGGAAGTACATGGAAAGGAAACATTTATCACCATGTTTGTTTTCCTTCCTAAAAAGTAAGGCACAAAACTATCCTACCACATTGTTGAAAATAATAAAAACTCTGTACATAAAAAGTACCAGAAGGATGGACCAGCAGTTGGCATAATGGCTATGTCGCTGGACTCCCATGTAGTCGACCATGGTTCAAGTCCCAGACCTGTTGGCTTAAACTCACGCTGGGTGCATGTGCATACATGCCCAAGATCCCTAGAGGAGAATGGAGGAGAAGGGATTGCAGCATGGCCATCCCCCCTGGGGGATGATTTCTCGCTTTCTGTCTCTCTGTCTCTCTCTGTCTTTCTGGCGAGCACACATGTCCTATAGCAAAAACCTCTCAAAAAAAAAAAAAAGTACCAGAAGGAAATGCAACCAAAACACAACAACAATTTTCTTTTGACTCTTCTTTTTAATTAACATTTACATATTTTTATAATTTCTCCAATGTGTGTGTTATTTGTAATTTTTTTTTGGAGAGATTTTCACTGTAGGGCGCGTGCGCTTGCCAGACAGACAGAGAGAGACATAGAGACAGAAAGCGAGAAATTACCCCCCAGGGGGGATGGTCACGCCGCAATCCCTTCTCCTCCATTCTCCTCTCGGGATCTTGGGCACACACGCACACGCGCCCGGCGTGAGTTTTAAGCCACTGGGTCTGGGACACGAACCACGGTCGACTACGTGGGAGTCCAGCGACATAGCCATTACGCTAACTGCTGGTTCCCATGTTATTTGTAATTTTTAAAACTAAATTTTCAATTTTATCAGGAAAAAGCAATTGTCACTTGATTCTCTCCACAGTACAGAGAGGATTTGGGGGGTCTCAGTTTTACCTGTGTGTCTCAACATGGGCATACCCGGAACCAAAGGCCCTGCTCGTGCCAGCCTCTCTTCCTCTCTGACTCCTCATTGCTTCTTCTGTAACTTTTCTTTCCTTCCCTACTTATTATTGACATTCAAGGACATATCTAGTTTTCTCGACAGTTTCCTTCCTTCAAATCCTCCATCTGAGATTAAACAATTATCATGGTACCAGTCATCACAGTAACAATCATAATGTAACGATATAAGCAGAGACCTTTGACTCAGGTTGAGTAGCTAACTTGGTTTATTCGCATCCTATATCCTTGGATGAAGCAAACCTTTGTGCTTTCCCATCTGGACCTATCGAGCAATGAGGTAATTAACAGAATCAAGTGAAGCAGCAAGCAGAAAAGCATCTTCATTCACAAGATACAACTGGTGAGTGTGGTGGAAGCTACTCGGTTAGCTACAGCTCGCAACCATCCAGCCAACGCGGCAGAGAGTCAGAGAGCCGGCAGTTCTTGGACCAAGTGGGCCTGTGGAGAGGAAAGCCAGGGAGAGTGAAATGGAGGGAGCTTCTTCAAATCGGAACTCAGATCTCCAGGGTTCCACAGCTTGGCCCAGTCCATTTATACCACCTGCCCAGCCCCTGGGGCATTGAGTCTGCCACCCCACTGCAGTTGCCACCTTTCTGAAGGCTCTTGTGCATCTCAAGTATGTCTCTGTTGTGGCCTCTACCACATCCTGGCATGACTGCTGGTCCTTCCTCCATCCTGGTGCCCACCCCCTCTCTCTTTCCATAAACCCCACCCAAGAAGATGGGGAGGCTGAACTGTGAACTGTGAAATTTCTCTCCAATCCTGCAAGTGAAGGTCAACTAGCTTCTTTGAAGGAGCTTTGGAGAAGTTCTACAGCTTGCCCAAGGTCCTGGTGAGTCCTTGGCAGGCCCTAGATCTGAAATCTGAACCCTTGTACCATGGGCCAAAGCCCCTTTCCCCTTACTGTGGGCCTGCTTCACTCCTTACCTTTCAACTCCTCAACTTCGCCTAGGACTAATTTCTCTCATCTTTTCTCCTGGTGTCCCTGAAGGTAAGTCCCTTGTTTCCAGCCCTTCTGCTTGCACCCAGACCTCAAGTCCTCCTATCCTCCCACTTACAAGCTAAGAGAGTCACCAGACCAGCTGTAAGCCATTATATCCTGCTAAGTCAGACCCACCCACCAGCCAAGTCTCTATGGGTCTTCCAGTTTAAGGGGTCCCACAGTGGAAGAAGGGGCTGTGTCTCCCTGGCTGCCAGTAGTTATAGAGCAGTAGGAAAGCACAAACACATTTGTATTTTGGGGAATCCTATGGCTCGCCATAGCCTCAGGGCAGATGTCACAGAAGAGACTCCTGGGAGTACAGGGGGATTTAGGGTCTTGGTCTTCTTCCTTCCCTCAACCTGGCAGAGCTGCCTGATCTGTGCTTTGAAAAAGACTTGGTTACCTATTAAGAAGAGCTCACTTCCCTGATAACCTGAGCAGGTTAGAAGACCCAGGTCGGCTTGGCCCAGCATATCTGTATGTACTGCTATGCAGTAAAGATGATTTTAATTCATTAGTGCCTACCCTTGAGGGTTAGCTCAACTTCCAAATTCATTGGAAAGGCCAGACCTTGTACAAAGGTATTTCAAACACTCAGAAGGCAATTAACACTAATAAGGGGAGTTCTACTTCAAAATGCCATCTATTCAATTAGTGGTGAAAATGGATTAATGAATAAGTGATCTTGAGACCAATGGCTGACCATTCGACAAATATAAAGCTACTTTTCAGACCAAAATCAATTCCAAGAGAACTAAAAGTTTAAGCATAAAAACAGGAAGTCATAAGAAATTCATTTGTATTTAGTAAAAATGTACTGTTTATTTTGGGCCAGTGCTGCTCTAACATAGAAGAAAACATGGCTCATTTCTTTACAACCTTGGAGTAGGAAAGACCTTTCCAAGAAGGAGATTTTATATAATCCTAGGAGCCACAAAAGAAAATGTCAAGAGTCTTAATTCCGTGAAACTATAAAACTCTTGTATAAGGAAAATACCATAAAGGCAGTCAAATACAGATAAGGAACCTGAAAAAGAAAACAGTGCACATAGACATGGTGGACAAAGATCTAATAATCCCAATTTACATAAAGGGCATATAAACATCGGTAGGAAGGAAAAAATTATCAACTCAATAGAACAAGGAGCTAAAAATACGAAAAATTGGTTCACAGAAAAATGGTCAGTAAGCACATGAAAAGATGCTCAACTTCCTTTGCAATTTAAAAATGCAAAGCCTAGGGGTCAACGGATGGCATAACAGTTACATCACTGAACTCTCACATGGCTGACCATAGTTCGAGTCCCGGACCTGGTGGCTTGAAACTCACTCCAGGCACGTGTACATGCATGTATTTCAAGAGAAATGGAGGAGAAGGGATTGTGGCATGGCCATCTCCCTGGGAGGTGATTCCTCACTTTCCCTCTTACTGTCTCTGTCTCTGTGTGTCTCTCTCCCCCCAGTGAGTGCACATGCCCTAAGGTGAAAACCTCTATTTAAAAAAAAAAAAAGGCAAAGCAAAACAGAAAGGTATTATTCTATACCTCTCAGTTCCTCAAAATTCCACAAGTTTCTTTTTTTTGAGATATTTTTGCTATAGGGTGCGTGCGCTTGCCAGACAGAGAGAGACAGAGAGATAGAAAGTGAGAAATCACCCCCCGGGGAGATGGCCATGCCACAATCCCTTCTCCTCCACTCTTCTCTCGGGATTTTGGGCATGCACGCACACGCGCCCAGTGTGACGTTTAAGCCTCCAGGTCCGGGACTCGAAACACAGTCGACTACATGGGAGTCCAGCGACATAGTTGTTATACTAACTGCTGGTCCCCAAATTCCACAAGTTTTCAACATCCCAGGCTGGTGAGCTGGTGGACCACAGCCACCTTACGTATGTGACAAGGTGCTTTTCTCCAAATCGCAATTTAGCAACTGGTCTCTCCAACTTTTAAATATACCACATAGCCCCACAAAATCCCCCACAAAGTCCCCTGCAGGAGATCTCCCTAATGATATTCTTTAAAGTTTTCCAAGCAAGATGGTTATGGTGGGATTGTTTGAAATAACAGCAGCAGCGAGAAAAAATGGAAACAGCCTAGATATTCATCCATCAGGAAATGGTAGCTAAATCCCGTCTCCACACATTGGGACATGCTAAGCCCCTGTCATGGCAATGACAGAGTGTTTCAAATAATGACTACCAAGAGTCACTACTCTATTGATAGGTCAAAAACAAAAAAGAAGCAAGTTGCAAGCCAGCGTGTACGCTGAGATTCCATGTGTGCTTTGAAGTGTTTGTACATGCATTTTCCTCTGACATATAAGACATGTTAACAGTGGTGACCTTGGGGAAGCTGCCAGTAAAGGGGATGAGGTTTTTATTTTTTATCTTAGAAATAATAAATTTAAAATGGGACAGGCCCCATAGCATGGTGTTTAAGAGAGCTGGATCTCACATGGCTGAACCCACAGCCTAAATTCCAGCTCGTAAAACATACCAGTGGCATGTGCATGCAGACCCAAATGAAGAAACAGAGAAGGGATTGCAATGTGACCCTGTCCCATGGGGAGTTCTCTCTCTCTCTCTCTCTCTCTCTCTCTCTCTCTCTCGCAAATGCACACATCCTCTGGCAAATGAAAAAAACTTCAAATGCTATAAGTGGCTTCTGGGTAGCGGCCTCAAATGTGGCCTGTTTTCCAACCCACATTTAGGAGTGCACGAACTGTGGGCAAGGCTCTGAGCTAGATGCTGGAGTATAGAAGCAAGAAAAATGAACAGAAGCCCTGACTGAATTTAGTTTCAAAATAAAAACACAATAAGAGAAAAAAAAAAAAAAAGGAAAGGAAAGAAAGAAAAGTCCTCACCTCTAAGCCAGGCTTAACTCCTGTGCTGGATTCTGGCACACAGGGGCCCTGGGATATAGTAGGAGCTTCCACCAGTGAGAGGAGTCCACCTGCAGGTCTCCCTCCCCGCGGTCTCTGGTCCTGCTTGGAAACCCTGATCTGGTCTCACGGAGCACTGGACAGCTGTCCTTTGGCTGCTTTCCATACGACCAGAGCAAGATCTTTGGTGCCAGCCATCCCATCTCTATGAGCAGCCTGGCAAAAGCTGAGGCTTGGACTAGCACAGATCCAAGACTGATCTTACTGCTGTGGTCATGGCGGAATTATTCTACCTTTCTGTGCCTCTGTTTCCTTTTAAATGGAGAAAAGAGTGCTCATTGCAGAGGGATGTGTGAAGATTTCATGATGATGTGCATGTATTATAAATACACAAAGACTAGATACTACAGCAGTCAAGAAACTGCAGCTATAGGGACGAGCAGTTAATGTAACGGCTATGTCGCTGGACTTCCATGTAGTCAATTGTGGTTCGAGTCTTGGAACCGGTGGCTTAAACCCATTCCAAGCACATGTGTGTGAGTGCCCAGGATCCTGAGAGGAGAATAGAAGAGAAGGGATTTTGGCATGGCCATCCCCCCATGGCGGTGATTTCTTGGTTTCTGTCTTTCTTTTTTTTTTTTAATCACTTTCAATCTTTAATTTTAAAAACTTGGGTTGTGGACAAAATGAGCAGTTCTTTATATTATTATTATTTATAAGTCTCTCTGTCTTTCTGACCAGCACACACGCCCTATAGCAAAAACTTCTCAAAAAAGAAAAAAAAGAAAGAAAGAAAAGAAAAGAAAAGAAAAGAAAAGAAAAGAAAAGAAAAGAAAAGAAAAGAAAAGAAAAAAGAAACTGAAGCTATTATTAAAGGACCTCCTCTTTTTTGCCCAAGGGTGCATGTACTCATCAGAAGGGGGTAGGGGGCAGAAAGCAGCCCCTGTGGGGAATGGTCACCCGCAATTCTTCCTCATCCATCACATACACTCAGCATGTTTCTCAAGTCACCAGATGCAGGACTTGAACTGTGAAGTTGGCCATGTGGAATCCAGCTTTCTTATTCACCAGGCCATGGAGCCAGCCCATAAATGATCTTTTATTGTAAAACACATGTTTTTAACAGGAACTTGGAGGAGAAAGATGCATACAACTTTAAGTTCAGAACCAATAAGATCTGCAAAATTATACCATCCAGAAAGGAGGAAAAACAACTTTGTTTCTAGATCTAACTAGAAACTACAATGCCCAGAAATAATCAGGCAATTATGAGATGTGAGTCAGAGGGACAGAGGCAAGGGAGGTGGAAGTTTGTAGTGGTGTAGAGTCCACTGGATAGTACAGGCCATGGTGTAGACAGAAGTGGTGGCAATGCGTGCTGGAAAGAGAAGATTTTCATGCACACCATGGATTCAGCCTATGAAAGACCTCGGCATACATGGGAGCAACACCCCCAAACTGAAGACTGGGTCAAGAGACCTGGATACCAATATCTCCCCAGATGGTTATCTGGTAAAAAGTCTGACTGTCACCCATGCAACAGTGAGCAGAGACAAGAAAAAGCCACACAACCTGTCTACTTGGCAAATACTAAATATGAGCAAGTCTGTCCTTAGCTGAGGGCAAAGAGGATAAAACTAACGTGGTGCCCTGTGGGAAAACATTACAAAGAGAAAAGGGGGCATCACAGTGAAATTCAGAGGAACATCCTTCTGAAAATTATATACTGTAAATTGCAGGAGTAAGATTTCCTAAAACTGACATCCTCAGTAAGCTGTAACAAGACAGGGCCTCTGGAAGAAGCCATGAGAAGGGAGAGACAAACGACAGCAACAAAAAGACCACAGAAGGGAATAAACTAACACAGAATTACCAAGGAATCAAAAACTTAATCATCAAAATTGAACACGCATTTATAATGAAAACAACAAATTTTAACAACCTAGACATGGAAAAGAGCAATTAAGAGTATCTCAGAAAACAGGGACCAGCAGTTAGCGTAATGGCTATGTCGCTGGACTCCCATGTAGTCGACCGCAGTTCGCGTCCTGGACCTGGTGGCTTAAAACTCAAACTGAGCGCGTGTACGTGCATGCCTAAGATCCCGAGAGGAGAATGGAGAAAGGATTGCAGCATGGCCATCCCCCCAGGGTGGTGATTTCTCACTTTCTGTCTCTCTGTCTCCCTCTGTCTGTCTGGCGAGGGCATGCACCTTATAGCAAAAACCTCTCCCAAAAAAATAAAAAAAGAGTATCTCAGAAAACTTAAAGAAAATATCATATGTAAAGAAAACATATTGAATTTTTTATTTATGAGATTGGGAATAAGACAAGGATGCCACTCTCATCACTCCTATTAAACATTTACTGGCAATCCTAGTCAATATAACAAGGCAGGAAAAAGAAAGAAAATGAATCTTAGTGCCAAGTATCAAAGCTAAGGCAATCAAGCTGTTAGAAAAAAAGAATAACCAATCAAGGAAGAAAAAACAAGCAAAATATTTAAGAAACAAGAAAATAGACAATTATTCACTGATGATAATATGTATGGTAATGTCCTTGATTGAGCCGGTATACAGTGTATTCTGGATGGAAAATCTCATTTTGTATACTGTATTGATGTAGAGTGAATGACGAAAGAAAGAAGAAAGAAAAAGAAAGAAAGAAAGAAAGAAAGAGAGAGAAGAAAGAGAGAAAGAAAAAAAAGAATATCCTCAGGACTAACAAATAAGAAAATATTAGTTTAAAAATAAAGCCATAAGGAAAAGTAATGATAAATTAAACTATATTAAAACAAAAAACTTTCGCTTGTTAAGATGCTATTAAGAGGGTGAAAAGGTAACCCGTGAACTGAAAGAAGATACTTGCAATGCATGCATCTTACAACAACTCTTTATCCAAAATATATAAATACCTCCTACAAATTAATAAGAAAAAGACAATCTAATAGAAAAACTGACAAAAAGTGGAACAAGATTGGGACGGGGGGAAGATATCTAAATGGCCAAGAAACATTTGAAAATGTGCTCAACCTCATTTCATCCGTAAAATCCAAAGAAAACCATAATGCAATACCACTACACATCATACGAATTAGGAAATACCAAGCATCAATGAAAATGTGAACAAATTGAAACTCATGATTGGTGGTAAGAGTATAAAATGATTAAAAAAAATATCTCCAGTAAACTGTTCAGCACAATACGCAAAATCTGAAAATATGCATATCCTATGATCAGCAATTTTATTCCTTAATATAACCTGTGAAAAAATTTTATATTTGCCAAAAGTTAAACATAAAACATTCATGACAGCACTAAAAATGGAGAAACTATCTAAATGTCTACCAATAAAAGAAAATGAACAATTCATGATGTATCCATACAATGGAATAGCATAGTATATAGTCATGACAATAAGTGAAATTATAACTAAACACAACAAAATGAATATAATGTTGTGTGAAAGAAGTCAGATACAGGTCCAGCCACCAGCAAATTTCAGAAAGCTTTCTGGCATGGTGGTTAAAGCGCTGGACTCCCACATGACCAATCGTGGTTAAAGCCCTGAAGCCAGCAGTTTGAAAATCACTCCAGGTTCGTATGTGTGCATGCCCAAAATTCTAAGAGAAGAATGGAAGAGAAGGTATTGCTGCATAGCAATCACTCTTGGGGAGTGAGTTCTCACTTCCCTTCTCTCTGTCTCTGTCTCTCTTCAGCAAGTGCACACACCCTATGGCAAAAACCTAAAAACTAATTAATTTTTCAAAAGATAAAAGAAAAAAAGGAAAGTTTTCTTAAGCATAAATCTGGTTAAAGAGGGAATCAGAGTTGTTATTTTGGCTATGAATAAAAAATAATCATTAGTATACCAAAATACATAAAGAGCTCTTTTAAACCAATATGATGAGTTGCATAAAAATAAAAAAGCAAATGACGGGAACCAGCAGTTAGTGTAATGGCTATGTCGCTGGACTCCCACGTAGTTGACCACGGTTCGCGTCCCGGACCTGGTGGCTTAAAACTCACGCCAGGCGCGTGTGCGTGCGTGCCCAAGATCCCGAGAGGAGAATGGAGGAGAAGGGATTGCAGCGTGACCATCCCCCCTGGGGGGTGATTTCTCGCTTTCTGTCTCTATGTCTCTCTCTGTCTGTCTGGCGAGCGCACATGCCCTACAGTGAAAATCTCTCCAAAAAAAAAAAAAAAAGTCTTAAAAAAAAAAAAGAACCTTCAAAGTATTCAACAACTTTGAAGGAATTTATATGACAAGTAAAAATGAGATGTATACGTATAGATTTTTTTGAAGTATGTTCATCTTAACATCCTATATAAGGCTAATTAAGATGGGGGGGGGCAACTCGAGATAATTTATTGTTTGTTTTTGGTTTTTTTTCTTTCCTTCTATGAACCTGCAGGAAACTTAATGAACAAGATTCCGTCTGCTTGAGACTGTTCACGTGCAGTGGTCAAGATCTGGCTAAGACCAATGGTGTTCTAAAATACAGGCTATACAGGGGTCAGCACGTGGAGGGGTGGTGAAGGCGCTAGGCTCCCTCATGGCCAAATACGGTTCAAGTCCCAGACCTGGTGGCTTAAAACTCAGTCCAGCATGTGTGCGTGCATGCCCCAAACTCCAGGAGGAGAATGGAGAAGGGATTGCACCATGGCAATCCCTTCCATCCATCCCCCCGGGAGGGGGTGATGTCTCGCTTTCTCTCTCATTGTCTCTGTCTGGCAAGTGCAAGTACCCTATAGCAAAAATCTTCTAAAAAACAAAAACAAATGCAAGCTATATAACGATGTGCCACTTACCATGCTCCCATCCCGTCTTTTCCTTTTACAATTTCCTTGACACATTTAATTGTCTCCTTTAAATTCGGATTCAGTAAAGCTGTGGAGAAAATAAAGTGGAATGATACCATGCCACCATGTGACAGCTCAGAGTGACGCTAGGGCAGGTGTGGAGTGCTCACTCTGTGTAACTCCCAGAATGAATCTCTTCCTAGATTTTCTCCTTGCCAACACAAGAGGCTGCAGGTTGTAACCACCTTTTTACCATATCCATTGTGGTTGCGAATTTCCAGCAAGATCATTTCCCTGTCCTTAGAATCTCCTTACTTTGGGGACTTTCTAGCTCAGCCCTCTCTCCTGACTGTAGCTCTCTGAGTCCTCGCTATAAGGTCTCCAGTGCACCTCTTCACTGTGCTTAGGCCTGTCTACAGTGACCATTAAACCTATGCTCTAGTCGGTAGAGAATCAGCTCATGGCCCAGTCATTATCTGCTTCAAACTTCTCTGAATTCTTTTTTTTTTTTTTTGGGGGGGTGGGGGGGGGGGGGGTTTGAGGCTTTTGCTATAGGATGTGTGTGCTTGCTGGAGAGACAGAGACACAGAGAGCGAGAAATCACCCTCCAGGGAAGATGGCCACACCATAATCCCTTCTCCTTTCTCCTCTCAGGATTCTGGGCATGCATGCACATGTGCCTGGCATGAGTTTAAGCCACCGGGTCTGGGACTCGAACCGCGGTTTACTACATGGGAGTCCAGCAACAGAGCCATTATGCTAACTGCTGGTCCCTTGTTTCTCTTTCTAACCTGTCAGTTTCTTTTCCTTTTTTTATGTCTACCTACTAGGCATGTTTTTCAGGATATCGAGTTCACTATAATTTCATCACAACACCCAATACCACCTCTATTATAGACAGATTGAATTCTGGTGGGATACATATACACACACACACACACATTCTTCAAAAGTTTGTAAAAATGTGAATTATGAAAAAACTATGCACGGATTTCAAAAAACTTTTTGCACCAAAATAAACTCATATTTGAATTCCATTTGGCCACAAATGTTTTGAAGTCCCCTTGAATGTGTGTGTTCTATGTGTGTGTGTGTATAATGTGAATATATGAATATATATGTATAATATATATATATATATATACATATATTGTGTGTGAGCATTATGTGTATATATTCATCTATTTCTTCTTATCAGATGTAAGTTATGGGCCTCCTATTTTCTCTCTTTTTGCCTTGGCTACCAGGAAGTTCAGGATGACATCGAATGTTCCAGTGTAGTCATTAAACTATACTTTAATGTGTATGTCTCGCCAACTAGATGATGATAATTATAATTTGCTTTAGGCCCTCCATGATATTTTACATGCATTATCCCATTTAATGCTCACAGTAGCCCTAAGAGAGGGGCTTATGTTGTCCCTGCTTCACAGATGAGGAAGCTCCAAGAAGTGGCTTAAGACCTCAGATCGGTCATAATGGAGCAGGTGGGGTTCCTTGCAGTGTCCCCACTCACTTTCTTGCTTTGTGCCCCTTCTCCTTGAATCCAGGGTCAGTTTTAGTCCTTTCTGGAGCCCCGAGGCAAGTCATAGGGCTGAGCATAAAGCAGGCACCCCCCAGGCCACCCAAGAAGGCTCCACACCTTCACCATAAACTCTCCACTGTCTCCGACAGAGTCCTGGAGCTGCAGGCTTTAGAACGTCTCTCATCCATCAGGGTGGAATGACGTTTGCTTATTAGGGAGGCTCTGAGAATCCTGGGGTACTCGGGCCCTCTCGCTGCAGAAAGAGAGTCTCTGGTTTCAGGGAGACCTGGCCTGGCTGTGTGGCCTCTTGGTTGAGCCCCAGGTCACTGGACTATGTTAGGGTTTGCCTCCAAGCTCTACCAGTCACTGCTCTGCAGTCTTTGGCATATACTCACTCTCTCTAGTCCCCAGTTTCCCCGTTTATAGCATGGGGCTAATAATATGGCCTACCTCATGGGGGTCATTGCAATTATTAGATGAGTTAATCCCTAGGAGGGGCTTGGACAAGTCCCTGGCAGTTAGGAAGCACTGGAATGGCAACTCCTTAAAGCCTGGCATTGGGTGGGTACTCAATAGATACTCATGAAACAGCTGAAACTGGGCCAACCACCTCTTCTTGACCACAGGTACTTGGGACCCCCTGAAAGCAGCGGGCAAGCACCCATTGGATGGCCAACTTCTGACTTCTCCCAATGACTGCTTCTATGTTTCAAAGTGAATTAGCTGTCCCCTTGGAAAAGGAGGTAGTGGCTAAGTCTGAAAGGCAGCAGGCCTCGTTGGAGCCCGTGCTCCCACTCTCTGGGCTCAGTTGGGCTCCAATGCCTCCAGCCTCCTCTCAACATTCCAACCCCTTCTGTGCCTGCTTGTACATGGGTCTCCCTCACTCCACCCCGGCTAGCAAACCTGACTTACCACAGCCTTTCCTCACTGACCACCCCGGCAGTGCAGCACTCTGCCTCCTTAGGACCCCACCTTGAGTACAGCTCAGCCTAGCCCCTGCCAGGCTGTCCTCCTGCCTCCTCCGAACTCATCAGTTCTAGCCATTGCAGAGGCAGACCTCTGAGCTCAGCACTGCAGTCGCAGTGCCCCAGCATGCAATGGAAGGAGGGGACTTACCAGAGCATGACACGTGGCAGCGTTTCTTGCCGTGGCCACACCACTCCGTGTCGCGGATCTGAAAGAGGCCAAAGCCAGTGTAGCCACTATTCTCATAAACAGCCGTGGGATTGAACTTGCTCTCAAAATAAGCCAGGCACACCCCTAAGATGAAACAGGAGGCATGCGACTCTGAAGAGAGCTGGGGTTGGGGACACCTGGACAGAGGATGGAGGGGAAGGAGGGGAAGCGACAGGAGCTGAAAGGGGCTTACTCACAGTTTTCAAGACTGTAGCCCTCATAATAATCCAGGCCTCCTTGGTGGAGCATCTTAGCCACTGTGCAACGCCCCAAGACAGAAGCGCTGCTTGGAACCACCAGGTAACCAATGAGGGAGAGGACCACAGATGCCTTCATCTTCTACAGGCTCCTGGCAGCTCAAGGTGACAGTGATTCCTACCAAGATCACAGGGACACCGGCCCTCTAAAGGAAAAAATAAAATAAAAGGCACAGTGAGGTGGGAGCTTGCAATCCAGTGTATTCACAAATGGTGGGGGTGGGGAGGGTGCTGGTCTCAGGAACTGGCCCATAGCCTAGTGGTTAAGGGAGCCAGATCCAACATGGCTGACCATGGTTGGAATCCCGACCAGAGGGTGGAACACAGGGATGGGAGGGGCTTGTCCAACATGGCTGACCATGGTTGGAATCCCAGCCAGAGGGCAGAGCACAGGGATGGGAGGGGCTTGAAAAAGCATGCCAGGCTCCTGCACACACACATCCGAAATCCTGACAGGATGAATAAATAGAGAAGGGATTATGACGTGACCATACCCCACTGGGGGATTCTCTCTCTTTCTAGCTTTCTGAAGCACATGCACCCTGTGGCAATTATTTTTTGAAAAATGAGAGACATCCCCTGTCTTAACCATGACACCTCTTCCCTTCCTAATTATCTGCTTCATGTCACTGCAAACCTGGGACACCTGGGAGCCTGCCTCTTCTCGTCATGGCCTCCCACTTTGTAAGGAAATTGCCATCTTTAAAGTCCCTCCCCAACCCTCTTCCACATCAGTAAAACCCACTGACATCTTGGTTTGCATCTCATTTGTTTTGTTTTGACCCTGGATACCAAAGCTCAGAGCCTTCCCCCTTGTTGTAAAAGGAGAGCTTGCTCATTAAATACATTTTGGAAAACAGAAAAAGAGAAAGAAAGAAAGAAAAAGCTGGTCATGGGCACAACCACTACTGTTGTGTTGAATTCTTTCCATCACTGCCTACCATCCTGGAATATAATCTCAGTTGTGGTTTTATCCTTTACATAGTCTCGTCCTGGGACTTCTATAAACCAAACCCCACTGAGATTTTCTCTTGCTGTCCACGCAGGGGGACAAACCAGGTTCTTCCCAGATCTGCCCCTTGGTCGCTGGGCAATAGCAGAAAATCGCCTATGCTCACACTGCCTCTGCTCTCTCGCCTTTAAAATGGGAGAGTTCTCATAGAGTGTCCATAGAACACTCTTGAATTACTCGTCTTCATTTTTGTTGCCACCACCTAAACCCATGCTGTGTCACCACCAGCTGCTTCACACCCAGCCTCCTTACCTCCACCCCCTGAGCCAACTCAGGCAGGTGGTGTTTTCTAACATGACTGAGGAATGTTCCTGAAGCATATACAAAAGGTCACTCTGAGGACAGCTAAATCCCCTATTCCTGACCACGGCAAACCCATACTTGCTTTTCCAAGTTCTTCATAACCTTTCTGTTCCCCACATACTCTTTTTCAGTAGAGAACCACTGTTGACTCGGAGTCTCACAAAACTTCATCTCGGTGTCTCTCTCCACCTTCCGCCACTGTCCCGTCAGGACCCTGTGTCTACTCAGTCTTACCTTGGTGCTCTCGGGGTCAGTTCTTCCCCATACACAGGGCTCTGCCATGCCTTTCCCACCCATACTTTGATCTGTCTTCAGGCCTTTGCCCAAGTATCAACTCCTTGAAGACCAAAGGATTCTACATGAAAGTTCCATTCCCTCTCTGAGCTGCTATCACCCATAGAGTCCCTTCTGTGATACCTAGCAAATGTTGCCCTGTCTTATTCTATTTCCCATTCCTCAAACAAGAATGAGCAATTAAAAATTAGGACCTATATGGGCCAGCTCCATAGCTTAGTGGTTAAGGGAGCTGTATCCCACTGAGCTGACCACAGTTCAAATCCTGACCCTGATGACTTGAAAAACACTCCGGATGCATGTACATGTATATTTAAAATCCCAGGAGGATGGAGAAATGGAGTAGAAGAGATTGCAGTGTGATCATGCTCCACTGGGAGGTGCTTCCTCCCTCTCTATCTCTCTGTGTCTCTGTCTTTCTCTGCCAAGTGGATGCACCCTTTGGCAATTAAAGAAAAAATAGGGCACATCTTCCTGGCATACCCCATGGCTCCTAACATTCTCTCTCTCGCTCGCTCTCTCTTGATATGTATCTCTCTATATATAGGTAGAATTTTACAGATATAGATAAAGATCAGTTAGACACTTATCTTTCTGTTTGTCACCATTCACAGATGTATACATATCTTCCAGGCTATCCACCTGTATTAGGGTACTCACTTTGGTACTTACTCTAGAAAACTCTTTGTTCTGGGGGACTGTCGTGTGCATTGGAGTTGTTTAGGAGCACACGCAGACTCTAGATACCAGCAGTTCTGCCTTCTCAGTCATGACAAACAGAAGTGCCATCACCACCTCCCCCACCCAGGGACAAAATTGCCTCCTGTTAATGATCCCATGTTTAAATTGGGTCAAAGTTAGAAATAAGTGTGTTAATCAATTAGAAGAACTGCACTTTCAAACATTTCTTGAAACCCTCAAGCTGTGTGATTTGTTGCAGATGTCACCATCACAGCACCCACCATCTAGGAGGAGCTCAGACTTGGAAATCAGACTCCCTGGTCCGAATCTCAGCTTTTCCCCTCAGTGGCCAGGACCTCAGTGATCGCACTGGTGGTTTTAGACAAGTCACTCAATCTTTCTATGCCTCAATGTCTTCGCCTATTATAGAGCTTAAGATAGTACTTATCTAACTGTGTGGCTATGAAGAGCAAAAATTAGGAGTTAAATAAGAAAAGTACAAGATCCCCCTACAGACACCTGCTTTGCCTATCTTGGGTTGCACCCCACACCCTTAGCTTAATGACTGAATTTCCATGCAAATGAGGAAAATGCATGTTTACACTTCCCAGAAGAATACGTGATGTTTTCAGGCAATTCTGTCTCTCACAGAGCAGGCCCCATCTCGACTCGCATAAGGCATGCCGAGGCCTCTCTCCTTCCCTCTTCTCTAGCAGCTGATTCATTAGGGAGCCTGTGGGCTGTTCTCTGAAAGCCTACCCACCTCTCTCCATCTCTGCTGCCATTATCTCTGACTAATGGAGAGGTTTCCTAACCATACTCCTCTATGACATACTCCTCTCTTGGTTCTCTAGACCCATTCTCCACACAGAAGCTAGAAAGGCCTTTCTAAAAATATGTATCCAGTTACATCAATCACCTCTAATAGACTCCCCTTGCACTTCAAATAAGATCCCAATTGCTCAAGCTGGCTGACAAGACCCTTCCTGAGCTAATCCTTGATCCTCTTTCCCATCTGAGTCCATCCCACTCTCTACTGTCTTCACTTTCACTCCATCACAGTCACCTTGCCTATTTCTTCTTCTTCTTCAACCTTCCCATTGCATTCCCCTCACAGGTCCTTTGCACCAGTTCTTCCTTCTGTCTGGAACGTGATTGCTCTGACCACCACATAGCTTGCTCTTTCTTGTCATGGCCAAATAAGCTCCCCACCTCTAAAAGGATTCCTTAATCACTGCCCCATCACAGAAGATGGCTTTTATTTTCTTCATAATATAATATCAACAACTAACTTGTTCATTGATCTACGCATGTGCTTTTTGTCTTTTTCCCATGCTACAGTGTATGCGTCAGAAATGCAGAAACCTGGTCTGTTTTGTGCCCAGAATTTAGAACAGAACCTGGCACATTGCAGGCGCTCAGTGAATCTTTGTTGAATGTCTTAATGAACCAAATCCTGCTTTTCCCAACAGGACTGTCACCAGATGACAATGAGTGAGTCCACTGGTGACTGTCGCCTACAGCTGGGTATTGTCACACGTTCTGCCTCCTGCCCACCTTATACCCACTTACCAGCCCACCAGTCCTTCCAGAGGTCCTTGGTGTCTTCTCTGGAGAAGAGGAAGAGTCTTCACTGTGACAGCTGTTGCAAGAAAGTTCTTCTACCTATACTTAGCAGCCTACAGTCTTCAGATGCCACTTCTTTAACGACGCATTTGCCGTCACTCAAAAGCCCCTAAACTACAAGTCCTTTTCCCTGACCTGCTCTTCTAGAATCTTTTCTATGACATCAGTTGCTATGCACCAGAATATTCTGAAAAAGAGAGAGATTTGTCAGCATCACATTTGTATTCATTTTCCATCGCTGCTGAAAAAAACGTTACCACAAATTTAGTGGCTTACACAACACAATTTGTTATCTTAAAGTTCTATAGATCAGAAGTTGGACATGAGTCCCCAAGGCTAAAATCAAGCTGTCAGCAGGGCCATGCTCCTTTCCAAGGGATCTGGAAGAGGAGTCGTTCCCTTGCTCATCCAAGGTATTGGCAGAATCGAGGTCCTTGCAGTTGTAGGAAGGAGATACCCATTTCCTTGTTGGCTGTCTGCCGAGGGCCATTTCCAGATGGTATGGGTTGTCTCCATTTCTTGGCTCTGTCTCTGTATCTCTATATTTAAAGCCAGCAAGGGTGGGTCAAAACCTTTCCACACTTTGGATCTCTTCTTCCTCTTCTGTTGTCAAAGTATCTTTCTGATCCACTCTCTTCCTTCTCCACTTCTAACAACTCATGAGATTAGATGGACTCACCCAGATGATCCACGATTGTCTCCTCATCTCAAAGTCCTTAAATGTGATACATCTGTGATGTCCCTTTCGTCATATAAAGTAATATACTCAGAGATTTCAGGTTGGGGTGTGGATATATTAGGATAACCAGTATTCTGTCTACCACAGCCTTTTTCTGAACCCCCAACTGTCTTCTATGTGGAGCAGTGAGAAAGGCCCTTATTTAGTCTCCCTACTCATGGGGGAATCATAGTTGAAGACATCCTCTCTGAGAATCTGGTCCATCTCCTCTGTGATGAAGGCATTGCACTGGGTTAACTTTAAGATCCCTTTTAGCTCTGTGATATGATTCTAACATTTCCCCCTCAAAAGCTCATGTCAGAAACTTAACTCCTCTGCCCTTATTAATGGATTAATGTTACAATCACAGGAATGGGTTCATTGTTGTGAGGATGGCTTTATTATAAAAGGGAATGGCTCCTTTGCCCTCCTGCCATGCAAAACTTTCTGCCATGTTATAATGCAGCAAAAA